ATGCTCAGCATCATAATCTTCAGAGAAAGGCAAATCAAAACCACAATAAGGTATCACCTCACAGCAGTCAGAATGGCTATTATCATAAAGACAAGAAATAGTTAAGTATTGGTGAGGATGTGGAGAAAAAGGAAACTTCATGTACTGTTACTGGGAATATAAACTGGTACAGCCACTATATGAAACAGTACAAAGGTTCCTCAAAAAATTAAAAACACAATACCATACAACCCAGTAACTCCACTTCTAGGTATTTTCCAAAAGAAAACAAAAACACTAATTCAAAAAGATATATGCATCCTTATGTTTACTGCAGCATTATTTACAACTGCAAAGATATAGAAGCAACTCAAGTGTCCATTGCCGGATGAATGGGTAAAGAAGATCTGGTACACACACACACACACACACACACACACACACACACACACACACAGGAATATTACTGAACTAAAAAGAGAAGGAAATTTTGTCATTCACAACAACATGGATGGACCTAGAGGGTATTATGCTAAATGAAGTAAGTCAGACAGAAAATGAGACAAACACCATATGATTTCACCTATATGTGGAATCTGAAAAACAACAAACAAAAAAATGGACTCATAAATACAGAGAACAAACCAGTGATTGCCAGAGGGGAGGGGGAGGAGGAGGGATGGCAAAATAGGTGAGAGGATTAAGAGGCAGAAACTACCAGTTATAAAACAAATAAGTCACAGGAATGAAAAGTTCAGCACAGGAAATATAATCAATAATATTGTAATAACCTTGTATGGTGACAGATGGTAACTACACTTATCACAGTGAGCACTGCATAATGTATATAATTGTTGAATCACTATGTTGTACAGCTGAAAGTAATGTAACATTGTATGTCAATTATACTTCACTTAAAAAAAGAGAAAACCTCAGCAAAGAAATAGAAGATACAAAGAAGACTGAAATCTTAGAACTGAAAAATATAATATCCAAAACAAAAGCTAATAACTCAATGGATTCAACAGCAGAATAGAAGTGACGAAGAAAAAAAGTCAAGAATCAGTGAATATGAAGCTAGAACAACTGAAATTACTGAATTTGCAAATAGAGAAAAATAATCATTAAATTGGATTTCATCAAAATTAAAAAGACATTGAGAAGAATGAGAAGATAAGCTGCAGACTAGGAGAAAATATTTGCAAGCCACATATCTGATAAGGAACTTGTACCTAAAACATATAAAGAACGCTCAAAACTCAACAGTAAAAAAAAAATTAACAACCCAAATAAAAAATGGACAGAACACATGAACAGACATTTCATTAAAAAGGACATATGCATGTCAAATAAGCCACAAAAAAATTTTCAACATTATTAGCCATTATGCAAATTAAAACCACACTGGGATAGCATGGCGTATCTACTAAAAAACTATGATACAGTCACAATATCAAATGCTGACAAGAATACAGCATTCAATATTGAAACTAGATCATTCATATATTGCTGCTAGGAATATAAAATAGTACAGTCATTCTGGAATATAGTTTTATAATTTCTTAAAAAACTAAACAGACACTTACCATACAACCTAGCATTTGCACTCCTGGACAAACATTTCAGAGAAATGAAAACTTATTTTCCACATAAAAACCTATACACAAATGGTTATAGCAGCTTTATTAATAACACATAAAAATGAGAAGCAACACTCACATGTGAATGGTTAAAGCAGTATATTCATACCATGGAATACTATTCATCAATAAAAAGAATGAACTATTGATACACAATGTTGATGGACCTCAAAGGCATTTATGATATGTGAATAAAGCTGATTTCAAAAGGTTACATACTGTAGGATTCCACTTAAAATGATGTATGTTTAACTAACTGGAATTTAAATAAAAACTTTTAAAAAATTCTCAAAATGGCAAAATGATAGAGGTGGAGAACAGATTAGTGGTTGCCAGAGTAGGATATTGGCATGGGAGGGTGAGGAAGTGACTATTTTCAGTGATGATTACATTTATTTACACATATGATAAAGTTGCACAGAACTATGCACACATACCACACACAAACATATGTAAGTGAACATAAAATTGATGAAATCTGAAAAAGGTCTATGACTCACACCCATGTCATTTCCTAATTTGGGTATACTATAGTAATGTAAGATAGTACCATTAGAGGAAACTGGGTGAAAGGTATACAGGAGCTCTCTGTATTATTTTTGTAACTTCTTATAAAACTATATTTTATAATAAAAAGCTAAAAAAAAACAAAAAAGAAAACTAAAAGAAAAACAGTCAAAAAGCAGGGATTATCATACCTGAGCTGATGCAGCTCATGTTGCCAGGAGAGATTTTCCTGCCTTAGCTCTTCTTGCATAATCTGAAAATTTTTTGTCTTATCTTGATACTCCTGAAGTTGAGCCTTCAGTGGACGTAACTCAGTGATTTCTTGGTTAATCTGTAAGTATTGCTGCTGCAGATTCTTCAATTCCTTCAGCTTTAACCAAAGGGAAAGTAACAGGGTGATTCATCACATCTCATTCACCCAGCTGTAAGTCATCAGCAGCTCCCTGCTAAGTCAGTCAGACACCACGACAGACTATCAGCACCTAACAGGTTCACTGACATATATTTGCAACATGAATCTCTAAAATGGTGAAATATAGGCAGCCAGGCTGGTGGGCATCACCCCATAGAGCTGCCATCAAGGCTATAGGGCCTGACCATTCCTGCAACTTGTACCCCAGCCTCCTGCTCCTGAGGTCCCCAGTTGATTCTAGATCTACAACCTGGACATAGGACAGACCTAGAGGACCTACAGTTTCTTTATGGGTGGTACCTCCCCAGAACAAGAAATGTAAAGATGGATTGACTTTCTATTTAGCCCTGTGCCCTGCTTAGGCTTTTAAACTTTCTAACATGGATATCAACCTTAACTCTAGCTTAGCTAATGTTGACTGTGAAAAGAAGGCAGTGATGCCCAGGCCCAGGGATTAATAAGAGTACTAAGGCTTTGAGGGTCCAACGTCCCGCCCACATAGGTTGTGTGACCCTATGCACATTCCTCACACCCTCTAAGCCTTAATTTCCCTTACCTATAAAATTTCCCTTACCTTCCTTATAGTACTTCTCATTAGATTATGAGAATTAACTAACGAAATTAATGGTGGTAGTGGTGATGGTTATGGTGGTGATGGTAATAATGATGATGGTCATATAATGATGGTGGACTTGCCTTTAATTAACAAAACTCTCTACCTACATTCCAGATATATCTTCAAATTATTTATCCCCAGTACTCTTTAAAAGATGGTAGTAAGAAATAATGTCAGGACACCTGGGCTAAAAGGGTGCCCTTGAACACATGTCTCTTTCACCCACTCTTAGAAACATCATTAAAGGTACAATAAAGGCATCATTTTATAAGCATAAAACACAAGAACAGGAAGAACAAGAGAGGAGTCAGCAACAACAAAATTAATTTTGGAAGCTGAAAAGCAGATGCGTAAGTGGTAACTGACTTAACAGATCTGGGAAAGCCAAATCTTAAGCTGGCAGTAAGGAAAGCCAAGAACCAATGGAACTTACTCTGTAGAATCTTCAAAAGGCTCAGGAATTAACAGCACCAGGTACCTCTGGAAAAGATAGTGATGGGGGTAGGGAGAAGGTGGTGGCTGAAATAAGGAGAATTAGATGAAAGCTGCTTAAAAAACAATTACATCCCTAAATACTCCTCTTAGTTCCATACCTTTTGTTAACTCTAACAGACAACTAGAGTGTTATTCTTTGGAGAAGGTAAAAGAAGTGTCTCTGGGCCATCAAATACCAGGCACAACTGAAGGGAAAAGTACTGCTCTAAAACAAGGGTGATTGAGTCAATGTATGCCTTCTGAATGCTTGAAGTCTTTCCCCTACTCAGCTTGGACAATGCTGGCACCCAGGCCTTTATCATCCATGAGGGAAATGAGAAGTCTTCTCTAGAAAATCTGACCAGCCCAAGAGGAACTAAAGATACAACATGGAAACTACCCACAAAAAGTTCAGCAAGATCACCCTGCAATCACCAACCTCACAGTTGGTAAGCCCAATCCACAAGCTTTTTAGACCTTACCCTTAAACATGAAGAGTAATTCAAGGATTAACCCCCGTCTGAAGAATGGATATCATTACGTCTGGGATGAAAAGAACTAAAAGAAAAGTAATTCAGAAGAGATTAGCAGGAGGAAGAATATAATACACTTGAAGAATTAACAGAGAATATTGGAAATTAGAAACATTAGAGCAGAAATAAAAAATAAAGAAAAATTCATTATAAGAAAACATCAAAGAACAAAATTACCACCCCTATTCTTGGAGAAATAAGTTAAGAACATCTATCTATGTGACAAGAAAAAGAAAAAAAAAAGAAATACTTAGAAATTAGGAACATGATCATAAAAATGAAAACCTCAATATAAGGTTCTAAGGATAAAAGTGAGAAAGTCTTCCCAAAGTATAGCAAAAAGAATAGAAAGGAAAATTATAGAACCAATCCAGAAGGTCCTACATCTAAATAACAGGCTTTTCAGAAAAAAAGGCAACAGAGAAAAAGGATGGGGAAAATGGTAAAACCGAATTCAAAAGAATCTCCCAAAATTGATGAGTATGACTTCTTGGATTCAAAGGACTAGAGAAAATGATGAATAAAAATAGATCCACATCAAAGTACATTATCATGAAATTTCAGAATACATGACTAAAAACTCTATACATTTCCAAAAAGAAATGAGAGAGACAAAAAGAAAAGGAGATAAACAAATAGATTATAGATAAAGGATCAGCAATCAGAACATTAGACTCCTGAACCACAATGTAATATAAAAGGCAATAGACCAATGTCTTCACAATTTTGATGGGGAATTATTTTCAGCCTAGAATTCTATAGCCAGCCAAACTATCAATCAAGTATGAGAGATAAAAAGACATTTTCAATAAATTTACCTCCCCTGTATCTTTTCTTAGGGAGCTACCAAATGATTTCTTCCAACAAAATGAAGACACAAAACCAAGACAAGGAAGACCTGGAATACAAGAAACAGGAGATCTAATACAAGAAACAGGTGAAGGGAGATATCCTAGGATGAAAACTAGGAGTGGTTCATGTAAGAGCAAGAAAAAAAAACTCCAGAATTTTCTTCATAAATGCAAAACTGATAGGAATAAACACCTTAAGAGGATATGTGGATAAATGGCAGTAAACCTAGAGGTAAATTATATTGATAAATACAAAGAAAACTAGTAACAACAAAAATACAGCTATTAACTTTAAGGGGGAAAAAAGATGCTGAGGAAAATAAAAGTAACATATCTCAGCTCTTATTTGTAGTCATAAAAATGTAAACACTGGGGCGCCTGGGTGGCTCAGTCGGTTAAGTGGCCGACTTCAGGTCAGGTCATGATCTCACGGTCCGTGAGTTCGAGCCCCGTGTCGGGCTCTGTGCTGACAGCTCAGAGCCTGGAGCCTGTTTCAGATTCTGTGTCTCCCTCTCTCTGACCCTCCCCTGTTCATGCTCTGTCACTCCCTGTCTCAAAAATAAATAAAACGTTAAAAACAAAATTTAAAAAAAATGTAAACACTGAATACTGAATTAACCAGAATGCAAATTACATCAGTAGAATGGAAAACGGGCTGTATACTGAAAATGTGCATATGCACCATGGAAGCAGAGAGAGGAAAGAGACCTAAATAAATCCCCGTTAGCATAAGACAGTCAATAGCTAATACAAAGAATTAAAACTCAAGATGCATTACCAGCATGATATTTAGATACCGAGAAAACACCAAAATAATAAGACAGTTAAAAGCAAAGTGTCTTGGGAGGAGGAGAATCAGAGTTGGGAGTGCTGTTTTTCTAATCAAACACGTAGAACTGAGTGATATGCAGAATTTAGTGACATAGATGTGCATATAACTTTATTTTTTAAACAAAAAAGGAAAGCATTTTTTTTGTTTTAAAACAAAAACATTTTTATGCACTAAATATATTCTTTATTCACTCCTCTAATCCAGATACTCTAAATATTAATCTTGGAATAGACTAGATCATCAGGAAGCTGTGTGTCTGGGACTGCATTTTAGCTGTTTGTATAAGTACCTTTAGGAAACTAGACAAAATTCTTTTGCTATGCAGTTACAGCAAGGAATGGCTAAATTAAACCTATAAAATAGGGAGCCTAGGTGGCTCAGTTGGTTGGGTGTCCGACTTCAGATCTGATCTCACCGTTTGTGGGTTTGAGCCCCGCGTTGGGCTCTGTGCTGACAGCTCAGAGCCTAGAGCCCGCTTCGGATTCTGTGTCTCCCTCTCTCTCTGACCCTCCCCCTACTTGCACTCTCTCTCTCTCTCTCTCTCTCTCTCAAAAATAAATAAACATTAAAAAAATTTTTTAACCCCTATGAAATAACTATTATATTTACTGTAGAGAAGTAAAGGATATTTCACAATTTCATAAAGTCCTCTCTACAGAAACACAAAAGAAATTTCTTGCAGGTCTCAATAAACTATTCTTATATTGAACAAAGTAGTTTTTCTTTCTTCCTTTTCCCTAAAACACGGATATTGTAATTCATGTATATGGATTTTTAATTCCCTATTTCTGATGGCTGCCAGAAAGCTGGAAAAAAATCTGATGACCCATCTTTCTAAAAAGATATTGTGACATCTCCTTGGGATACTAAATTTACTCCTGGTTTAATCTTTTTCTCTCCTATCCTCATCTTCTCTTCCTTCCCAGTTACTTGCATTATATTATCGTGAAAAACTGCTCATATCTTTATATGCTACTTCAAGTCATTTTCAGAATGAAATGAGTACAGGGGACTTCCAGAAAAGATGGCAGAGTCAGAGGATCCTAAAGTCACCTTGTTCCATGGATACAACTAGGTAACAATCACATCAGTGTAAACAACCCTGAAAATGATTCAAAGACTGGCAGAACAGACTCCACAGGTAAACATACAGAAGAGACCACATCACAAAATGGCAGGAAAGGTAGAAACACAGTCGGGAGCCAAGCTGACTCAGGAGACTGTCCATGGGAAGGAAGGACATCACAAGAACAGAGAAGGGAGAGGAGCAGACCCCATACCAGGCACCCCAGTCACAGGGACCTGCACTGGGAAGACAAAGCCTTGTAACACTGGCTTTGAGAACCAAAGGGAGCTAATATCTGGAGTTTTTACAATCAGTGGGGCTTACCACCTAGAATTTTACAGATGAACAGCTTGGCTCTGGGAGAGCTGGAGGGTAAGAGAAAATTAAGTCCTTTCCAATAAAGAGCACAACAAATAGCCCTGCTGAGATATAGCATAAAAGCAGCAGTTTGAAAAATGCCTGGGGTATACAGGAAGATTTATCTATTAATCTCAGACTGTATGCTGGAGGGCCAAGAATCTTTGGGAGACTTCTCCAAGAACAAAAGAGCTGGCAGGTGCCATTTCCCTCCCACCCCCACCCTATATATGCACATGTCTGCAGGAACCAGTGCAGCACAAACACTCTCCACTTGGGATTGCTGTGCCCCACCCCTGGGTTCTTCTGCAGACTCATCCCCTGCAACCTGGCACCACAGGCAGCAGGAGTATATACTCAGCAGGAGTATATCCAAAATGGCACCACAGGCGTGGCATTCTGCAAACAGTCCCAACAGGGGCCAATACCACTCCAAAGTGACTCCTGTCCAAAGGAGAGGGGAAGATAACCACACAGTAGTTGACTGCAGCCTTAGCAATGGGCTGGGAGGAGACACCTGGTCTGACTACAATCCCCCACCCACTAACAAAAACCTACCAGGGGATAACACAGGGAGAGCTCCCTGCAGTTCAGTGTAATCACAGCTCTGGCAAACACCTGGTCTGACCCAACTAAAGCCCAAGACAGCCCCAGACTGGCCCATTAACAACACAGGGACCAAACTCTGCCCACAACAGGCAAAAGGAGCCATTGCAGATCACTACACTGAAGGCAAACACAGCTCAGCCACAACATGAGGGTGCACACAACACACACAGGAAACACCTTGAAATGCCAGGTTCTGGTGAACAAGGGACATTGCACTACAGGGCACCACAGGATCTCTTCTTGATAAGGCCACTACTTGCCACAGCTGACTTGATGTTGCTGACTTTCCTAACACATAGATACAGACATGGAGAGTTAGGCAAACTGAGGAATCAGAGGAATAATCCCCAAATGAAAGAACAGGACAAAGAGAGAGAAATGAAATGGAGATAAGCAATATGCCTGATAGAGGATTTAAAGTAATGGTCAGAAAGATACTCAGAACTTGAGAAAAGAGTGGAAGATCTCAGTGAGACTCTCAACAAAAAACCAGAAAACACACAAAAAAGAACCAGTCAGAGAGGAAGAACTCAATAACTGAAATTAAAACTACACTAGAGAGAATAAATAGTAGAATAGAGAAAAGAGAAGTACAGATCAGTAACCTGGAAGACAGAGTAATGGAAAACAATCAAGCTAAACAAGAGAAAGAAAAATGAATAAAGAATGAGAATAGATTAAGGGAACTCAGTGATATCTTCAAGTATAACGTTTGCATTATATGGATCCCAGAAGAAGGAGAGAAAGGGGGCAGGAAATTTATTTGAAGAAATAATAGCTAAAAATTTCCCTAATCAGGGGGAAGACACATAAATCCAGATCCAGAGGCACAGACAGCCCCCAACAAAATCAACCCAGGGAGGTCCACACCAAGATACACAGTAATTAAAATGGCAAAAATTAATGATACAGAGACTATTAAAAGCAGCAAGAGAAAAGAAAACAATACGTACAACAGAAAGCCCATAAAACTATCAGCTGATTTTTCGGCAGAAACTTTGCAGGACACAGGGGAGTGGCATGATATATTCAAAGTGCTGAAAGAAAAAAACCTGCAATAAACAATACTCTATCCAGAAGGGCTTTATCTACCATTCAGAATAGAAGGAGAGATAGAGTTTCAGGACAAATGAAATTTAAAGGAATATATCACCACCAAACCAGCCTTACAAGAAATGTTAAAGGGGACTCTTCAAATGGAAAGGAAAGACCATAAGCAGAAGTAAGAAAAGTAGGAAGCACAAAAGCAGTAAAATCAAGTACATCTATAAAAACCCGTCAAGGGTTTCACAAAATACAAATATGTAAAGTATGACACTATATACCTAAAACATGGAAGGGAGAGGAGAAAATTTTGGTACTTTTAGAATTAGTTCAAACTTAAGTGACTATCAGCTTAATACAGACTATTATATGCACAAGATGTTATATATAAACCTAATGGTAACCACAAATCAAGAAACTGGTAATAGACATGTAAAAAAATAAAATGAATCCAAGTATATCACTAAAGAAAGACAGCAAACCATGAGAGAAGAGAACAAGAAAGGAACAGAAAAGATCTACAAAAACAACTGTAAAACAAGCAACAAATTTGCAAGAAGTACACACCTATCAATAACTACCTCAAATGTAAATGAACTAAACTCTCCAATCAAAAAGCATGCAGTGACAGAATGGATAAAAAATCAAGACCCATCTAGATGCTGTCTAGAAGAGACTCATTTCAGATCTAAAGATACCTGCAGATTAAAATTGAGGGGGACAGAGAAACATGTATCATGCAAATAGATTTCAAGGGAAAGCTAGGGTAGCAATACTTACATCAGACAAAATAGACTTTAAAGTAAATACAATAACAAGAGACAAAGAAGGACACTCCATAATCATAAAGGGAACAATCCAACAAGATATAGCAATTGTAAATATTTATGCACCCACCATGGCACACCCAAATAAATAAAGAAGCCCACAACATAAAGGAAGTAATCAGTAGTAACACAATAATAGTTGGAGACTTTAACACTCCAGTGAAATCGGACAGACCATCCAAATAGAAAATCAACAACAGTGGCTTGAATGACATGCTGTACCAGATGGACCTAACAGACATACTCAGAACATTCCATCCTAAAACAGCAGAATATACATTCTTTTCAAGTGCACATAAAATATTCTCCAGAATAGATCATGTTAGACCACAAACAAGTGTCAACAAATTCAAAATGAGTGAAGAGGTATCATGCATCTTTTCTGACAATGCTACATATAAAACTAGAAATCAACCCCAAGGAAAAAATCTAGAAAGAACACAAATACATAGAGATTATATAACATGCTACTAATGAATGAGTCAACCAAGAAATCAAAGAGGAAACTTACAAATACATGAAGAGAAATGAAAATACAATGATCCAAAATCTTTTGGGTGCAGCAAAAGTAGTTCTAAGAGGGAAGTTTATAGCAAAA